ATTAAAGGCATGTGCCACCACTGCCTGGCGTGTGTAATCATTTTTACGTGTATGGTATGGTGTTTTATCTACATGTATGTCTGCACACCACATTCGTGCAGGGCCTTTGGAATCTAGAAGAGAAGTGTTAGTCCTCATGTGGATGCTGGGGTCTAATCCCGTTCCTCCTAAAGAGCAGCGGGTACTCTTAGCCACTGAACCGTCTCCAGGCCTGCTCTGTGTCTGTTCTGTAATGTATCAATTACTAACAGGGATATGGTCTGAGAATATTACTTATTATTCATTATTGTGCAAGCATCGTGAACACATTTATACAAATCTAGATGTGCAGGCTATCTCACACACACACACACACACACACACACACACACTTAGCCTCCTGCTCCTAGGCTATAAACCTCACAGCATATTACTGTACTGAATACTGTAGACAGTTTTAACACAATGGTGTTTGTGTATCCAAACACATCAAAGCACAGTAAAGGTACAGTAAAGCACTAGCTGTAGGAATTTTCTCTCCGCTGTAATCTTATGGGACCACCATCGAAGGTGTGGTCTGTGGTTGAGTAAAACATCTTAATATAACATGTTGCGATATTTTAAAACTCTCTCAAAATAAAAAATTGTTTTAAAAGAAAGAAATGAAGCAAAGAAGAGAGATGAGACCTGGGTCAGAGGATGGGATCAGAGCTAGGGCCAGGCTTGGGCTGGCGTGGGGCCTGGAAAGGGGTTGGGCTGGCTCAGGGGCAGCCCCTCCACACACAGCTCAGTGTTTCCTGAACCAGGCTGCTGGCCAAGAGCAACATCGCCGGCACCGGGCAGCCTCTGCTCTCTCCCTGGACAGCTCTACCTCCAGGCAGGTGGGGGTAGAGGAGGACTGGCCTCCAGAGACCTTCTTTGTCCTGCCTGGCACTCCAGGGACAGAGTCTGTAAACTTTCACCCATGGGCGCCTCATTAGCACCGGACTAAAAGGGAGGAAGAGAAGCATCTGCGCAGCCTCACATTCCTCATCCCTTCCTTGCACCTTCCAGTGAGTCCCTACCTTCTAGGAAATGCCGGGAGCCTAGAAGCCAGTGTGGTGGCTCAAACCTATAATTGAAACACTTGGGAGGACGAGGTAGGAAAAGTACTGAAAGCTCACGGCCAGCCTGATCTACACCGAGAAAGCCAGGGCTATCTAGCCAGACTCTCTCTCTCTCTCTCTCCCTCAGGGCTATCTATCTAGCCAGTCTCTCTCTCTCTCTCTCTCTCTCTCTCTCTCTCTCTCTCTCTCTCTCTCTCATACACACACAGACACACACACAAAGGTAAGAACAAGAGAATGAAGCCCTCCCACCGGTCCTCCCTCACGCCTCCTTCCTTCCAGTAATCTTACTTATCTGTCTAGAGGTGGAATCTGCTTTACTGCCTTACCCTTGGAATTTTAAATAGTTCGTGAAGTCGGGGTGTGGTGATGCACCTCCCAGCACAAAAGGAAGGGAAGGAAGTAGTAAACACAGAGAGAGAAGGATGCACATAGGAAGTGAGTGATGTGGCAGAAGTTTGCTGGACCCGTAGAACAGGGCACATCATGTAACAGACAGACCTTCTAGAATACCAGTCTATGCATGAGTGAGTTTAGGGTTCTGTGAGTCAAGGTTGTGACATAGGAAACAGTTCGGTCAAGAGTCTTAGAGAATATATCTTGGGAACAGTGGGGGTGGGGGCAATCTGAGGGCCTTGGGGGTCTTGGAAGAGAGTGGGGTTACAGGAACTGCCTAAGGAAGCTTCTGGTTAATTAGCACTGGGCACAGGAGAACCTGGGAAAAGGGGAACACCCCAGAATTTTAATGAAATCTGCTGCAAGGTCTAGCTCTGCTGTCAGCTCTCCATGACCTACCCCCAGGACAATTTTTAATAAGGAGAGTCCATGGGCAGCCAGGGGAAGAAAGGACCTGGGTTCCGAGGCAAGCTCTCAGCCAGGCGGGCCCTCAGGCTAGAAGCCTCCTCTTCCCGGACCAACCTAAAGGGCTAGATTCTGGACAGGGGATTGCCACAGACTTTCTCTTTTCCTCCTTTTCTCCCCCTTCTCCATCGTGTGTGTGTGTGTGTGTGTGTGTGTGTGTGTGTGGGTGTGTGTGTGTGGGGTGTGTGTGTGGGTGTGTGTGGGGTGTGTGTGTGTGTGTGGGGGGATGTGGGGGTGTGGGGGGGGAGGGTGTGGGGGGGTGTGGGGGGGAGGGTGTGGGGGTGTGGGGGAGGGTGTGTGTGTGGAGTGTGTGTGGGTGTGTGGGGGGGGGTGTGGGTGTCTCCTGAGACAGGTTTTCTCTCACTCAGTAGTTCTAGCTGTCCTGGAACTCACTAAATAGCCAAGGCTGGCCCTTCAAATCCACAGTGGTCACTCTTCCTGCAGGCATGACTCACCATTTCCTGGTTAGGATAAGCTGCTTTCAAAAACAGTAACTAGTGGTTTTCTGATTTAACTTTGGGAAGAAGCCATTCTTTTTGTTAAAGAAAAGGAAGGAAAAAAAAACTAAAAAAGTAAAATGTTGTTTGGTGTGCTAGTATGAGTTCAAGGTTAGCCAGAACTATACAGTAAGACTGTCTCAAACACACACACATACACACAGAGGCAGGGAGAGGAAGAAACAGAGACACAAAGAAATACCGCTATCTTTTTCGGAGTGAAAGTGAAGAAATACGCTGCCCTGAATAAACAATACAAAAGGTTGGACTGGGAGCATCTGGGTGGCTTCGGACGTGCTGAGAACCCACAAGTTCCGGGGCCTGATTCCCAGGATAAAATAAGATTAAAATTTGGGGCTGGAGAGATGACAGAGTGAGCACTTGTTCACGCAGAAGACCCAGGCTCAATTCCCTGCACCCTGTGTTGGTTCACAACCACCCGTAAACCATAGCTCCAGTTCTAGGGGGATCTAATATCTTTTTCAGGCCTCCAAGGTTTTGCATGCATGTGGTACACAGCCATACATTCTCATAAAACACCCACACACAAAATAATTAAATTAAATAAGATTAAAATTTAAAATAAGAAAGAAGAACAGGACAATTGGCCCACACACACAACACTTGCAAATTGATTTTTTTTTCTTTTTTTAAGGAAAGGCAGCTGCTGCTTCACAGACAGGATATTGCCCCTGGGGACTCTAACCAGGAACTGAGCAGGTGACCTGAGCCATGTTCTCCTCCAAAGAATCCTGGGACATCAGATGAGGCATGGCCGGGCTGGCTTCCTGGTCTCGCCACAGTCCACTCGCCCTGCAGAAGCCCTATAGAGGGCCGGGCCGGGGTCTGCAGCCTCAGCTCTTCCTCTCAGGAGCTTGACATCCCCAGCCGTTCACACAGGTATCCACTGAGAGTCCCATTTCTCCCCTCATCCTATAAAAGGGAACTGGATAAGCCCACAGGGCTGCTCTGGGACAGGGGACTGAGACCCAGCGCCGCCGATCACCATGCCACCCCAAGCCAGCCACATAAAAGATGAGAAATCACTTGAAAATTCACTGCAGCCTGGCCTGATGGCCCTCACCGGTAATCTCACACCAAGTGCAAACCAGGCCCGGCCCCATATAGTTTCTGCAATCAGATGATTTCGGGCTGTAGCCATAGGCACACCTGTAATTGCAACAGTCTGGAAGCAGAGGCAGGAAAGTCATTGCAGGAGAGTGCCACACAAACCAGATCCTATTTCAAAAAGCCAAAAACAAATGTAAAGCTTAAGGTCCTGAGAGAGTTTCCTGATTAAAACATGGCTGCTCTTTCAGAGGATCTAGTTTGAGTCCATAACTCCAGGTCTAAGGACTCAAACTTCTTGTGGTGTCTGCAGGCAATTAGACATGCGCAGGCAAAACAGTCATATACATAACGTAAATATTAAAACTTTTAAAAATAAAAACCAAAACCTTTTAAAAATTAAAGTTTAAAATGGAAATTCAAAACGAGAGGGCTCAGCGGTTAAGAGCACTGGCTGCTCTTCCAGAGGACCCGGGTTCAATTCCCAGCATCCACATGGTAGCTCACCACTGTCTGTAACTCCAGTCCCAAGGGATCTGACACCTTCATACAGACATACATGCAGGCAAAACACCAATGCACATAAAATAAACGAAGAAATAATTTTTGAAAGGCAATTTTAACACGTATCTGTTTATTACATTGGGGTTTGAACCTAGAGCCTTGCTCATGGCAAATGCTTGGCCACTCTTATTCCAGCTCCCTGCTTTCCCTTTTTATTTTCAAATAGGGTCTCATTAAGTAGCCTAGGCAGCCATCCTGCCTTAACCTCTCGTAGGTGAGATTACCAGGTCTGGCTCGGAGATGTATTTTATTTATTTATTTTTATTATTTTGTTTTTTTGAGACAGGATTTCTCTGTGTAGCCCTGACTGTCCTCACTCTTGAAGGCCAGGCTGGCCTCAAACTGGGCCAGGCGCTGGTGATGAATGCCTTTAATCCTACCACTTGGGAGTCAGAGACAGAGGCAGGTGTATCTCAGTGAGTTCAAGGCCACCTCGGTCTACACAGTGGGTTCCAGGACAGACAGAACAAAACAGTGAAACCCTGTTTTGAAAAAGCAAAACGAGAGAGAGAGAGAGAGAGAGAGAGAGAGAGAGAGAGAGAGAGAGAGAGAGAATATCCACCTGCACCGAGTGCTGGGATTAAAAGTGCATGCCACCACCGCCTGGCTCAAATAGGTTTTTTAAATACTCCCTGAAAGTCGCTCAGGCAATGAATGAGATGGCAGTTCTCTGTGAAGTACCGCCTTTGCATGAAAAACAAGAGGACGCTGGTTAGTTCCAGATTGATGAAGAGGAAAGGATAGAACAGGTAGCATGTTAATCCTCGGAGACTGGAGCAGAAGATGCGGAATCAGAGCGGCTGAGCCTGGGCGATCCTGTCCCACCCGGAGCTCCTGGACTAGGGTGCAGGGCTGACTGACGTTCGCACAGTCCGGGACCTCGCCTGTCAAGATAGAACTGGTCCAAGAAGGGCGGAGCCCAGGGTGGGCGGGGCGGGCGGTGGGCAGCCCCCCGCCACGCTGCAGTTGCCTGGACATTCCTGGCTCTTCGGCCGGGGCGGAGGAGCTCCCGGCGGCTGAGCGTGCCAGCCCCGCCGGGATCGTGACCCGTGGGCGTGGGAACCAGGCGGCGGAGGAGCCAGGTGAGCCGGACCCCTGCACAGGGAGGCAAGTCTGGCCCTGGGTGAGCCGGGCCCCTCACCTCGCTCCCGGACGCCTGGGGTAGGGCTGCTGCAGAGCTCAGGAGCTGCCCCCTCCAGCCCCGGGGACCTTGGCGCCCGCGCGGCGGGAGCGGTTGGGTGGAGGGGGCGGTAAATCAGTAACCCGCAGCGCACACAGGGCCTTTTGTCCCCCTCCGTTCAAAGAGCACCTTGGTCACCGTTCTAGTTACTTATTGCCCACCGGGGCGGGGGCGATGAGCCAGCTGTCTGTGCAACTCAGCATGAGGACGGATGACTTGCACCCCGAGGGTGACGGGCTGGGAGCACTAAAGTAGGAGCACTAAAGTAAGAGCACCGACGCCCTTGGGCCGGTAACCCCAGTGCGCTGGGCATAAAGATGAGGAAAGCAATGCTGGGAGAGGCGCAGTCACTTGTCCAGTTCCACCACGTGCGCACGCGTGCGGGAGGGTGGAGAGCTCAATGCTGTCTGATGACAGTCTCTGGCGCCAAGTGTTGGCGATCTTAAGCGGCCAGCCATGGTGACCGGAGCAAGGACTCTGTGGTTCTGAGTTCAAGGCAGCCCGAGAGTGGGAGTAAAACCTTCCCGGACCTGTCCACCCGTTGGGGGCGCTAGAGCCTCCTGCTTTGCAGGGTGTGGTCGGAGTCTTGCAAATGGAAGGACCAAACTTAGGAGAGGGGTCAGGTCAAGATTCTAAGATGATAGCTAAACCGATGGAGAAGAGGAATAAGGGACACAAAAGTACAGGCAAGGAAGCACATGTGCTGGACCTTAGAATCTCCTGAAGGAACTAAAGGGGCGGACAGTGGGACTAACACGATTGACACCTAGAAAAGCGTCGTCTGGCACATGGCACCAGTCGGGCTGAGGCAGGAGGCTCACAGTTTGAAGGCCTGCTTGGTTTGCAGAGTGAGCTAGCCTGCCTGATCAACTTTAGTGAGAGCTTGTCTCAAAATAACAAAAAAAGATAAAGGAAGAGAAAAGTAAACCATGATCTACAATTAACCCTTGAGAGCTTGTAAACTGAGTCATAGGGCCATTGGAAAACAAAAACAAACAAACAAACAAACAAAACCACTGGAAGGTTGAAGGTGAAGAACTAAGATTTGTCAAGATTCCAAGCAAGAAAGGATCAGGACCTGGCCTAAATAAAGGCAGGGGAAATTAGACACATGAAGACTGGTTGAGGAGGTCAAAAGGGCAGATTGTAGGGGGCAGCATTCCCAGTTTGGTAAAATATGGAATGCAACTTTTAAAGAATCACGCTGTTAGCCAGCTGGTGGTATGTGGCCCACACCTTCAATCCCAGCATTTGGGAGGCAGAGACAGGTAGATCTCCGAATTCCGGGACAGCCGGGGTTATGCAGAGAGAACCTGTCTTGAAAAATAAATAAACAAGAAACCAAACTCACAAGCCTTCCACACTTAAGCATGCTGGGGGTTAGCGATGTAGCTCAGTGGTAGAGCACTTGCCCAACATGAGCAAGGACCTAAGTAAAGGAATACTGGTCCAAAGATGCCACCAAGAGTAGGTGGCAAGACTGTCCCTGGGACTATGCTGGTCCTCTGCTCAAGTTAAGGCTGAGTTCTGGGTCTTCCTTTTGGGAAGCAGGGATCCTGCATTTGGACAATGATTACTAGTTGTAGTAAGCAAGTGCATCATACTTAATAGCAGCCGTTCGGAAGCGGAGAATGGCTGGCTAAGGTCGGGCGGAGGGTGCCCCTGAGCAGTCAGTGGGGGACAGGGAGCACATCTCACCAACACCCTGTATGCGCCACCACCCTTCCATGTATTGTCTCCTTTATCCCCGAAGCAATCCTGTGATGACAATGGTCCAGAAAGGGACAAAGAGAGGTCTTGGCAGGAATCAGGATTTGAGTTTGTCATTGGCAGACATGTATTTACAAAGCCAACTAAACATGAAGCTTAGTGGTAGAATGTTTGCTTAGCATGTAAGGAGGTCTTGGGTTTAATCCCCAACGCTGCAAAAGCAATAAGCAAAACCAAACACACTCCAACATTGTCTAAGACGAAGTTGGGAGGGTATGAGCCAGCTGAAGTGTCTCTGGGATGCATTTCTGGCTCAGAATGAGAAAGAATGTCTTTAGTGGACAGTGCCTTGTTAGAGGAGAGCACCCAGCCGCTGGAAGGATCCCAAGCTGGACACGGAAAGGTCAGTAATACTGAAGAGTGGGGTCCTGTTCGATAGTGTCCAGATGCTGCAGGCTGGCCTTGCATTAGATTTCACTTCTCTTTAACTCTTCAGCAATGAATTCATTTATTCAGCAAAAAATAAATGATGTGTACTGAGCGAGAGAGCAAAAGACATGTCACCATCTCTGCTTCCTTCCAAGAAAAGAATCCTAAAACTGCTCTGTCTGTGAAGATGTGCCAGGGTCTCAGTGGGACCCAAGGCAAGCAGGAAGTCCTGCACTCACACACACACACACACACACACACACACACACACACACACACACACACCCCGCAGAACCTCCTGTGGGGCGCTTGGGCTCTGGCAGCAGCAGGGCTGGTCCCAGCGTTGGCCCTGCCGCTGACTGCTTTCTGTCTGTGTCCTCACCAGAAAAGAGAGTGCATGTAACAGGAACTCTTTCTCCCTTTTCAGGAAGGCGGCCAGTGGGGAGTCTGGCCTGGGTTCTGAGACAGCTGGAAGGAAATGTGGCTGCTATGGGCCCTATTGAGCATCCTTCTGGGGACACCAGCTGTATTTCTTGAGGCCACTGAGGAAATGGAGCTGGGTATGGCCTCTAAGGTGGGAAAGGGGGGCAGGGAAGGGGCTTCTGGATGAGCAAAGCTGGAGAGGATCCTGGCCTTGGCCCCAAGAAGGTGGTGGCAAGGTGGTGCTCAAGCATTGCGATTCACTGTCTGGCTCCCAGCAAGTACTCCTCTTATCTGTGTGTCTACAAGGGAGGATTAGCCTTGCAGGGCACAGAGCCTGGGCTAGGCTGCAGAGCCAGTGGTGAGCCCCTCGGCTGCATGTACATGTGTGTGGTTCTATGCACTGGGTATGTTGGTTGGGAGGTCCAAGAGCATGAATGATGTGTGTACTGAGTACAGTGTGCCTCAGAAGTATAGCATGTGTCCTGTGTGGCACCTATAGCATGTACCGTGTGTGTGTGTGTGTGTGTGTGTGTGTGTGTGTGTGTGTGTTTGGGGCAGTAGCATGTCTAGCATGTGACAACTCCTGGAAAAAGTGTGGCACTGGCCCTAGGCAAAGCATTTGTAGCATGTGGTTATGTGTGTGGGAACAGCATGTGCCCCAGGATATTTGTGTTCCACGTGTGTAGCATGTGGCCCTTTGTATGCAGGGTGGGGGGCTTGCCTCAGATGGAGCTATGAGTGTCATTGATTTCTGCCTTCTGCCCTCAGAGCCCTGCCTAGCTCCAGCCCTGGAGCAGCAAGATCTGGTGTTGACTGTGGCCCTGGGGCAGCCTGTGCGTCAGTGCTGTGCGCGTACTGAGCGTGGTGGTCATTGGTACAAGGAGGGCAGGCGCTTAGCATCTGCTGGACGAGCACGGGGCTGGAGGGGCCGCCTGGAGATCGCCAGTGTCCTCCCTGAGGATGCTGGCCAATACCTCTGCCTGGCACGTGGTTCCATGACTATCTTACACAATCTTACCTTGATTGTGAATGGTAAGAGGTTCTGACAGGGAGTTTAAGGGTGTCTTGGGAGAGAAACCTTCTTCTCTTGGACTTCAGATGCCTTCCTTTGTTCCCGAGTAGACTCCTTAACCTCCATCAATAGTGAGGAGGACCCCAAGACCATCAATGGATCCTCAAGTGGGCGTGTTTACCCCCAGCAAGGTTGGTCTTTTCAAGGACTCAACCCCACTACCCATCTGGTTACTGAGAAGAGACCTGTGTGGGAGCCAAGGTCACCTTAGGGTCCTAAGTACACTTCTCCCTCCAGCTCCCTACTGGACACACCCTCAGCGCATGGAGAAGAAACTTCATGCCGTGCCTGCTGGTAACACTGTCAAATTCCGCTGCCCAGCTGCAGGCAACCCCATGCCCACTATCCATTGGCTCAAGGATGGGCAGGCCTTCCACGGGGAAAATCGCATTGGAGGTATTCGGGTGAGTCTGGGCTTCCAAGTTCATTTGCTCCCCCATTTTCATTTTCCCCACATAGCCCGTCACATAGGTCAGTATATCTAATGGGGAAGGGTAATTAGAGTCCCAGGCAATGGACAGCTCTGCCACAACTTCCCAACCCGCCACTCACAGATTTTGCCCTCTCAGCCTCAGCAACAACTAACTCTTTCTGTGTTCTGGTGGGGTTCTCATTATTGATGATGACCATGATGATGTTTATGGGGGAGAGGCATCACAGATTTGCTTGTGTTATCTTTATTTATGTGTGAGTAAATACCATGTGCAGTGGTGCCCACAGAGACTGGAAGAGAGATCAGATCCACGGGAGCTAGAAGTATATAGGCAATTGTGACCTGCCTGGTGTGGGTGCTGGGGAGGAACAGCAAGTGCTCCTAACCACTGAGCCATCTCCCCAGCCCTGATGCTACTGGTTTTGTTTCTGTTTTTTTTTTTTTTTTTTTTTTTTGAGGCAGGGTCTCTCTATGTAGCCCTGCCTGCCCTGGAACTCGTTATATAAACCAGGCTGGCTGCAAACTCCCAAAGAACTGGCTGCCTCTGCCTTCCTGGTGCTGGGACTAAGAGCGCTGGCCACCTCACCCGGGGTGATGATGCTGTTTTTGAGATAGGGTTTTACTGCAGAATTCAGGCTGGTCTCCAACCCCAGCCTTCCGAGTAGCGTCTCCTCCTTAAAGTTGGGAGAAAGAGTGACTGGTGGGTGTCACAGGCTTCAGCATCTCACTTTGAGGCTGGTGCGCATGGGCTGAGCTACATATGATAAAGAGAAACCTGAGACTCCAAGTGGGCAAGAATAGCCCAATGGTTCTCAACCTGTGGGTCACTACCCAGTCGGGGATCAAATGACCCTCTCGCAGGTGCTGCACATCAAATATTCTGAATATTAGATAGTTACATTACAATTCATAACGGTAGCAGAATTACAGTTATGAAGCAGCCATGAAAATAATTTTATGGTTGGGGTCACCACAACATGAAGAATTGTGTTAAGGGGGTCTAAGCATTAGGAAGGTTGAGACCCATTGGTTTAGTACAGGGAAGCCCACCTAGGTAGGGTGCAGCTAAAACTCAAGGCTTAAACTAGGGCTCAGATGCTGGTGTGTGTGTGTGTGTGTGTGTGTGTGTGTGTGTGTGTGTGTGTGTGTTTGAGACAGGGTCTCACTGTGTAATCTTGGCTAGCTTGGAATTCATTTTGTGGTTCAGACTGGCCTTGAACTCACATCCTCCTGCCTTTGCATTCTAAGTACTGTTCTGGAATTAAAGGCATGAACCACCATGCCTGGCCTCCAGACATTTATTATTTTTAGGGGGATTTATTTATTTTATGTGTGTGAATGTTTTGCCTGTATGTATATATGTATACCATGTATGTACCCAGTGCCTGCAGAGGTTAGAACAGAATGTCAGATCCCCTGGAACTGGAGTTATAGATGGCTTTGAGCCACCATGTGGGTGTGGGAATCAAATCTGGGACCTCTACAAGAGCAGCCAATGCTCTCAATTGCTGAACAATCCCCGTAGCCCACCAGACTCTTCTTACAGCATTTTTCTCTGTCTTGGAATGTCTGACCTTGGCCTGATCCTCTCAGGGCCCAGGGATTGAGAAGAGCCCCATAGGCAGGTTCTGTCCTCCCTCTGCCCTAGTGGCCCCTACAGTTACTTCCTCTACTTCCAGCTGCGCCACCAACACTGGAGCCTGGTGATGGAAAGTGTGGTCCCCTCAGACCGTGGCACATACACGTGCCTCGTGGAGAATTCTCTGGGCAGCATCCGCTACAGCTATCTGTTGGATGTGCTGGGTGAGTGGATGGGCTGGGGCAGGACAAACAATGTAACTTATCTTGGGCCCCATCCTGCCCTCAGGGTGGGTATCTTGTCTTATCTTGTCTTGGAGACATGATAGAGTCACTTTTAGATGAGTCAAATGACTCCCAGGATCAGAAGGAAGCGAAGGGGCTTGTGGACTAAAGGAAAAGGCTGCCCAAGGAGAAAGGGAGAAGGAAAAGCATAGACTGGACTCAGTTCTTAAGAAAGCAGTGCACTAGTGGGCAGGTATATGCCATAAATGCAGCATTTATGGGGTGGAAGGCGGCTGTGGAGGTTTTGAATGTGACTCTGGACCTAGAAGCTGTAAAGGCATAAAAAGCTGAAGGAGGGTAAACAGAAGATGGACAAGGTCTGAGCTGCATATCCAGAAGGTCCTTCCTTCCCTTCAACTGGGAGGGTGGCTGAGGGCAGGTAAAGTGGGTATTTTGTGGGTGCCACTGGTCAGGGTTGACGGCTTGGCCTGGCCCCCAGAGCGGTCCCCGCACCGGCCCATCCTGCAGGCGGGACTCCCAGCCAACACCACAGCTGTGGTTGGCAGCGATGTGGAGCTGCTGTGCAAGGTGTACAGCGATGCCCAGCCCCACATCCAGTGGTTGAAGCACATCGTGATCAATGGCAGCAGTTTCGGCGCTGACGGCTTCCCCTACGTACAAGTCCTAAAGGTTCCGTTCCTGCTACTGCCTGGGTCCCACCCTTTTCCCACTGGGGTGGGATGTTCCCCAACCACCCTCCCCGCTCCAGTGTGGCCCCAGGCCCTCCTGTGACCCGGTGTCCACTGCTTCAGACAACAGACATCAATAGCTCAGAGGTAGAAGTCCTGTACCTGAGGAATGTGTCAGCTGAGGATGCGGGAGAGTATACCTGCCTGGCGGGCAACTCCATCGGCCTTTCCTACCAGTCAGCATGGCTCACGGTGCTACCAGGTGAGCACCTGGGTAGCCTGGGAGAGGTGACAGGCATCTTCTCTGGTTCATTGTGGGCTATGGCCTGCTGGGTGGGCAGTTTCCTTGGCCTGTGCGGGGTATGGTATTGGTTTGTTTGGGGCACTGTACATGTTAGATAAATGCTTTCTCGCAGAATCCAACAAGGATATGTGTTTGATTTTACATGACTGTCTGTGACCCTCAGGGACATAAGACTTTGTATAACTGCCAGTTTTTCCAGAGTGTGTCCCTATATGTGTTGGTAGCTATGGGGAACTAAGCTGGGGGTCGGGGAGGGCTGATCAATCCAACCCTGACTACTCAGTTTCTCTATCTATGTACTTCTAATGGTGAGAACAGAGGAAGACGTGACGTGGGCCACGGCGGCGTCTGAGACCAGATACACAGACATCATCCTGTATGTGTCAGGTTCCCTGGCTTTGGCAGTGCTCTTGCTGCTGGCCGGGGTCTATCACAGACAAGCAGTCCATGGCCACCACTCCCGCCAGCCTGTCACTGTACAAAAGTTGTCCCGCTTCCCTCTGGCCCGGCAGGTACTGTCTATCCCCCAGCCCTTGCCCTGTATGGCTCTGAGCCTGACCCCAGCAGACAGAACAAATCTCCCATGTTGTAGTTCTCCTTGGAGTCCGGGTCCTCTGGCAAATCAAGCTTGTCCCTGGTACGAGGTGTCCGGCTGTCCTCCAGTGGCCCACCCTTGCTCACAGGCCTTGTGAGTCTAGACCTACCTCTGGACCCACTTTGGGAGTTCCCCCGGGACAGGTACACCGAGCAGGGTAAGGACAGGGATGCCAGCTCGAGAGTGGTACCCGCAGATCTGAGGCATGGGCCTTCTTGATCTCCAGGCTGGTGCTTGGAAAGCCCCTGGGCGAAGGCTGCTTTGGGCAAGTGGTTCGTGCAGAAGCCTTCGGCATGGACCCCTCCCGGCCAGACCAAACCAGCACTGTGGCTGTGAAGATGCTGAAAGGTACATGCGGCTATCTGGGTAGGGCATGCTGGGACCAAACTCTGCTGCCGGTGCTGTAATTTTAAGAAAGCGGCACTGGAGAGAAAGATGCCATACAACAGAGTTCGAGTGGAGGGGTTTAATCAGGGAAAGGGATCATATGAAGGGGAAGGGAGAGGGGAGACCAACCTCTGGGGACAGGGGCAGCGGGGGAGAAGAGAGACACAGAGAGAGAAAGAAGGATTCAAGGTGGGCAGGGCCCTTTTGAAAGGGAACATGGTGAATGTGCACAGGCGGGGTTCTTAGTGGCTGCAGCTGAGCCACTAAGAACCCCAAGGACAGGCCTAGACAGATGCCTGAATACTAACATCTAGCCTTGGCAAATGACTCCTGAGCCTCACTTTCTCCTTGTGTCCACATTGGGATAAATAATGGTCCCTTACCCCTCAAGCTGAAGTTCATAGGACATGTGTGGTACACAGGGCTTTGTAAATTTTTTGTGTTCATTCATTCATTCATTCATTGTGTGTGGTGTGTGTGTGTGTGGTTTTTGAGACCGGGTTTCTCTGTGGCTTTGGAGGCTGTCCTGGAACTAGCTCTAGTAGACCAGACTGGTCTCGAACTCAGGGATCCTCCTGCCTCTGCCTCCCAAGTGCTGGGATTAAAGGCGTGCACCGCCGCCGCCCAGCTGCTTTGTAAATTTTTGATACAGGGTATGGAATTGCCTTACTTAAGGCTGCGTCATACTCTGTCCTGGACTGATATAGAAGTCACTCTGCAATCCAGCCCCGCCTGGAACTCATAGTGATCCTCCTATCTCATCCTCCCAGTTCTGGAACCACACCTGGCTAGCTCAGTAAATTTTAACTACTGGGTAATGATTCCCATGAGATTTGTGGTGACTGGGGCCCTGGCCTCATGACTGTCATCCCCACATGTCTTCTGCCTCATCCCCATCAATCCCACTAAAGTATATGCCATCGGCACATATTCCTCCCATCCAAGTCTGTATAGAGCTACTCTCTGTTCAAAAGCCCCAGTCTCGGGGCTGGAGAGATGGCGTAAACTTTAAGAGTGCTTGCTGCTCTTGCAGAGAACTCAAGTTCGATTTCCAGCACCCACATCAGGCAACTTAAAACCACCTACCTGTCGCTCTAGCTCCAGGGATTCTGACATCCTCTCTGACCTCTGAAGATACCACACATACATACACACACACACACACACACACACACACACACACACACACACAAATAAAAATTAAATCTTAGGGAAAAAAACCAAAGTTCCAGATTCAAGCTGGGTCCAGGGGCAGGTAACCAAGGCAATAGGATGGTAAAACCAAGGCCTGCCTGAGCTACACATTAATCCAAGTTCAGCCCAGACAACTTAGTGAAATCCTTTTCCAAAATATGAAGAGGGCTGTTTAAGTGTCTTGTCAAATGTGCAAGGGCTGACATACAATCCCGGGAAACAAAACAGACAGAAAAAAGCCCAGACCTCAAGCAATGTCCCCAGAGTGCTCTGCAGTCACTTAGCATTTATCCACAGGAGTATCTTCTATTTTATTTTTTAAAGTGTATTACTTTGTTTTAGACAGGGTCATACTATACAGTCTTGGCTGACCTGCATAGATCAGGCTGGGCTTGAACTCATAGAGATCCACTTGTCTCTGCCTCCCAAGTGCTGGGACTTAAGGCAGTTGTTGTCTTATATGTGTGACATGTGTGTATGTGTGGACGTGTGTGACCACATATACTGTGCATGCAGCTGTCAGAGAACAACTTCTGGGAGTCAACTGCAGGAAACACACTCTTTTGGGCCTGCACACTGAGTCATTTCCAGCTCCTTTATGATTTCTCCTATGTTTTCATTACACAGATATGGATTTTTTGTTAGTGGTGGTAGTTTTTTTTTTTTTTTTTTTTTTTTTTTTTTTTTTTGAGTCAGTGTTGTTTCTCTGTGTAGCCCTGGCCATCCAGGAACTCACTCTGCAGACCAGGCTGGCCTTGAACTCACAGCGATCAGTCTGTGCCTCTAGAGTGCTGGGATCAAAGGCAATGGCCAGCCCCCACTGCCCAGTTTATTTTGATTTGTCCTGTGGAAATCATATTCATGCTTACTCAATCTCTCGCTGTTTAATGTTATACCATTTGCCATAGCCATCTTGCTGCTACCCTTCCCCCCCCCCACACACACACACCTTAGAACCTGTTGCTGCTGCCCCAGCCACCTTTGCAGAAATAAGGAATAGCCCCAGCCACTGTGCCGCCCTCCCCGCCTCCACATCTGCACAGCTGGAGCCAGCTGGCACTTTGTGGGAGGCAGTGATTGTGAAACAGACGTCTTTGTATTGATGTGTGGCTGGGATAAGAATTATGTCTTTGTCCCAAGGCTTCAGGTCAGCCCTGGGGGCCTAGTCCCTGGTCCTTAGCCCTGTCTTCTCAGGGGAAGTCACAGAAGTCTCCTTCCCAGAGGATAATAAGACCTCAGGGCACTTCCTAGGGACTATCACCTCACCAGGGACTTCCTTCCTGTAGGGTGCTTCTATCTCTCACATCCCCTGGACCTGCTCATAGAAAGGTCAGCTCTTGGAGCTCTTTTGTGTTTCTTCCTTGCAACTTGTGTGAGATCTTCATATAAGACAAGCCTGAGGTTCCAAAAGGTTTGAGAGACTTGTGAGCTATGTGTGTGCTAGGTGCGTGCGTGCGTGCGTGCGTGCGTGCGTGCGTGTGTGTGTGTGTGTGTGTGTGTGTGTGTGTGTGTGTGTGTAGAGCTATCTTCCCCTATGGCTCTCCACCCTACGGTTTTGAGATGTAAGCTGAATGTGGAGCTTGCTGTTTCAGCCCCCTGCGCTGGCCCTCTGGCTGCTGCCTGCCTCAGCCCCTGTGCCCCAAGGGTTAGGGTGACATCTGTCACACTGCTGCACCAGTACGTGGGTGCTGGAGATCTGAACTCCGGTCCTCATGTTTGTTCAGCAAGCACTTTATCCACTGAGCATCTCCCCAGACCACTAAAGGAATTACTTAAGCCAGGCATAGTGGCACACACCTTTAATCCCAGCAATAAGGAGGGTGAGGCAGGAGGATTGCTTGATCTACAGAGCTAGTTCTGGGACAGCTGGGGCTACACAGAGAAACACCTCTTTGAATAAATAAATAGGATTTTTTTTTTTTAAAGATAGGATCTCTATATATAGTCCTGGCTGTCCTAGAGCTTGATAAGTAGATCAAGCTGATCCCAAACTCACGAAAGATTAAAGGTGTGAGCCACCACCTGGTCTGGAATTATTATTTTTTTGTATTTTTGGTTGTGAGCCTAGCCTTTAACAGCTGAGCTGTCTCTCTATCCCTGGAATTATTTTTTAAGCATTTACTTTTTGGGGAGAATGTCATACACAAGTACTGTATTTACATAATTTCCACCCCATTCTATCCCCCCATGCTTCCTACTCCCTTTCAAATTTATGACCTTTTCTTTAAGCGCGCGCATGCACACACACACACACACACACACACACACACACACACAGAGTTGAGTTTGTGTCTCATGTAGCCCAGGCTAGCCTCATATTCATCAAGTGGGCTCTATCATGCCTAGTGTTATGTTGTGGTGAGGACTGAATACAGAGCTCCATGCTAGACAAGCACTCTGCAAACTGAGCTGCATCCCTAGCCCTAAGGGCTTCTTCTCATGCACACAGCCAAGCAGGGTTTCAGCCCAAGTCTTGGTCCAGTGTTCCTTGACCTGTCCCCACCCTGTGCTGCTCTTGTGGGGTTGAAGAGCAGCTTCCTCAGCCCAGCTGTTGGCTTTGCAGACAATGCCTCCGACAAAGATTTGGCAGACCTGGTATCTGAGATGGAGGTGATGAAGCTAATCGGACGACACAAGAACATCATCAACCTGCTGGGCGTCTGCACTCAGGAAGGTAGGGCGGGAGCCAGGGTACAGACGGGTATTGGGATGCAAGGGCACAGTCTGGCCAGCTCTCCCATCCCCTGGCCCATGCCTACCCCTGTAGGGCCCCTGTATGTGATTGTGGAATGTGCCGCCAAGGGAAACCTTCGGGAATTCCTCCGTGCCCGGCGCCCCCCAGGCCCTGACCTCAGCCCTGATGGGCCTCGGAGCAGTGACGGGCCACTCTCCTTCCCGGCTCTGGTCTCCTGTGCCTACCAGGTGGCCCGAGGCATGCAGTATCTGGAGTCTCGGAAGGTGTGGACAAGAGGCAGCTCTAGTGTGCTCCGGGCCACTCTAACTCCTCCATCCCCACACTTCCATGCCGGTGCACTGAATGTCCTCAGCTGCTCCTCCTCTCCCTGTTCATGGCACTGCCCTTTGCACATCGCTCCACACAGATGCAGCTAACCCTGCATGTCCGTCCCAACTTGTAACCCCGCATGTCCCGCCTCTCTCTTCACCTACTCTCTAACCCGTGGGTGAGGCAAATGCAGCCACGGTGCAGGTTTGGGCGCGGAATACACATGCTTCCTTTTCTCTTTCTGCTGCTGGGGATTCATCTGAGAAACGATGAGCACAGCTCCCAGACATGGGTCCTGATACAGCTAAGTTCCCTGCCCTCCTCTTAGTGCATCCACCGAGACCTGGCTGCCCGAAATGTGCTGGTGACTGAGGACGATGTGATGAAGATCGCTGACTTCGGGCTGGCCCGTGGTGTTCACCATATTGACTACTATAAGAAAACCAGCAATGTGAGGGGCGGGACAGAGATGCGTGGGCGCGGAGTGGGGCCTGGGCCGGGTGTGGAAGGGATAGTTCCTGTGCAACTCCACACCATTGTCCCCGCCTCCTTCCCCCAGGGCCGCCTGCCAGTCAAGTGGATGGCTCCCGAGGCCTTGTTTGACCGGGTATACACACACCAGAGTGATGTGTGAGTCCAGGAACTGGGATCTCAGATCTCAGCCATCGTCGTCCCTCCCCGCTAAAAGGGCAAGGCACTTGCCAAACAAAGTCACAAGATCCGAGTTCTTCTGATTAGGCCTGGGACTTGTGTGGGACCAGACTCCAAAGAAATGAGTGCCCCTCCCTATCCCCAGGGGTGGATCATGTCCGCAATAGCCCCTACCACAGCCTCAGGGAGGATGGACGCTGGGCCCTGCTGAGGCCCATTTCTGCCTGCAGGTGGTCGTTTGGGATCCTGCTGTGGGAAATCTTCACCCTCGGGGGCTCCCCATACCCTGGTATCCCAGTGGAAGAGCTGTTCTCTCTGCTTCGAGAGGGGCACAGGATGGACCGGCCCCCGAACTGCCCCCTAGAGTTGTAAGGACACCCTCCCTTGCCCCACTTCCCAGATCTCTTCCTGTGCCTGGCTTTGGCCCTAGCCATAGAGCAGCAGCCCACTCACCATCTCTCCTCCTCCTCTCCTTGACCCACGTTGCCCTGGGTCTGCTCTCCCATTGAATTGCCCCGTTTATCCCTCCCAGGCCCCTGAGGCCCAACCCCAGGGAGCCCACAGACCTGGCTTTGCCTTACTTAGACACAAGCTCCTTTGACGCATTCCCAGGTACGGGCTAATGAGGGAGTGTTGGCATGCGGTGCCCTCTCAGAGGCCGACGTTCAAGCAGCTGGTGGAAGCGCTGGACAAGGTCCTGTTGGCCGTCTCTGAAGAGGTACTGCCCACTCCTGCCCTGTGCCCCTCTCCACCTGTCCCCTTGGCCTAGACACACGCAAACATGAAGCATCCTGTCCCAGAGGCTGACCAGCTCTGTTCTTTGCAGTACCTTGACCTCCGCCTGACCTTTGGACCCTACTCTCCCTCCAACGGGGATGCCAGCAGCACCTGCTCTTCCGGTGACTCTGTTTTCAGCCATGAGCCAAGCCCCTTCCCTTCCCCTGGCGTGCAGACGTGAGCTCGGGCACAATGTTACAATGTTGTGTGGGCTGGTGGGTCAGCGGCCTCCTAGCTCAGCTGCAGCCTGATGCAGCCTTTGATGCTGGCAGCACCCAGCCTCTGACTTGAGGCTACCGCTGTCTCAGATCCTCTGGCCCTGCTTGGGGGAGGCCCTGTTCTTGGTTTTAAGGTTCATAGTTCAGGCCTTTTGCTCTAGCCTTATGTTCCCAACCCAGAGTTCAACTTTAGTCTCAGGGTCCTGACCCTACCCTTGGACTTATCTTCAGAGAAGCTAAGTGTTAGGGCTTCATGTCCTGGGCCTTGGCACTTAGCTTCCATCTCAGGGGCTTACTAAACCTGGCTGCAAAGCTTTTGACCCAAACCTTTCTGCTTCCCCAAACTACCTAGAGGCCTCTGAACCTCCTCCTCGGCCCCAGCCCCCAAGCCCCTCATCCCCACCCCTACCCCCCCCATTGCCTGTCCCAGCATCTTGGCCGAAGGAGCACCAGCTCTGGTATCCCTGAGAGACTAGAAGCCTGTGGAAAACACAGAAGATGACATTTTATAAATTATTTTTTGAAATAAATCTGTGTGCCTGGTGTGTCCCCTGAGGGGCAGGGCGTAGGGTGGAAAGGCTCCCCATGCTGGGAGTTCTGTTGGGGGGGGGGGTTCCAGGCCTTCAATTGCCTTCTACCTCCACTGTGCTATGGCAGAAGTGGATATGCACCCCTGTCTCTGTCCACCCAGCCTTCCAGAACCATCCTTGTGTATGCAATGGTGTGAGCAAGTGTTCATGGGCAAATGAGCCCATATTGCACCATCTGTAAAGCAGGCCCTTGTGTCCTCTACATGTGCATGTATACATGCTGGGCCCACAGCTGTCCTCAAGGGAGCTGGTGCCCCTCCCCCATCTGTTCAGCATTAACCAAACTGACCGTTAACACAGCGTGAAGCCCTGAAATCAAGCCTCCAGCTAATGCCTGCTCCCACGATCTGGATCTGCCAGCTCAGGCTCAGGGTTTGTGGGGGCCGTGCCCGCCTTGCCTCACCCTGGCCTGGCTCCCAGGCAGCAGCTGCTTGCTGCCTGGCTGAGCTGCAGCTGTCCGCACTTGCACGATCTTCCCTGGAGGCTGCTGGGTCTTCCCTCTCAGAGGGATTGGCTTCCCAAAGCTCTGAGCGTGGAAACTTACTGGACTCCATTGTGACAGGTTCAGCTGCTCCCTAACCCGGAGCCTTTGGGTGGGCCACAGAGAGGCCAAAATCAGTCTCAGACTAAAGCCTGGTGCTCTGCTGCCTGGTTCCCACAAGCTCTCCAGGAGTGCTGGCTGAAAATACAAGGATTTAAGGGTGGAGCTGAAGAGATGCTCTTCCTGAGGACCCAGGTTTGACTCCCAGTATCTACCACAGCCATTTGTAACTCCAGTTACTAAGCAACCAATATCCTCTTCTGACTTCCACAAGCACCAAACACACAGACACACATGCAGGCTAAACATTCGTACATATAAAAAAAGAAAACAATAATAATTTTTAAAAAGATTTAAGGATGGTTTGTTCATTAAGAGGCACCCTGAAAGACACCCATAGTTCATAAAGGGGACAGCTTTTCCTCATTGTTCTGAACTGTGTTCCTACTCTTTCTGGCTCACTCTACCTTACACTGCATCTCATCCAGAACACCCCATCCTAGAGGGGACACCAAACGAAACAACCACAAATTCTGCCTTTTCCTCTGGAGCCATTATTCCTTAGTGGGATGCAAAGAGCACTGAACTTGCAGCATCCGGTTGAGGTACCCATGCCAGCATTATCCCTGCTCTGGTGGCTGCTTTCTTCACCAAGATGAGTGGGGGTGCCTGTCCTGCCTTTCAGAACATGGGGGTGAAACGTAGATGGCTAGACTCCAGCTTGGGGAAAGGCTGGTCACGCTGTAATTGTACTGGGAACCGGGGCTCTTGCGTGGTCTCTACCCCCCCATTCCCAGCGTAGGTCTCCACTGTTCCCTACTCCCCTGCAGGTAGCTCCAGAGGCAACAACCCACACAGCTCCTAGCTCTTATTCTTCCTCGGATTTTCTGTGTAAACACCATGCACGACAATCAATGCCGCCAAACCCTCAAGCTTTTGGTCTGAGACCTGATTCCAAACATAGTCTCCCATTAGATTACAAGTCAGAGCTGAGTCCGTCGCCAGTTCAGGCACTCACTTTTTGTTTGTTTGGTTTTTCGAAACGGTTTCTCTGTGTAGCTTTGGAGGCTGTCCTGGAACAAGCTCTGTAGACCAGGCTGGCCTCAAACTCACAGAGATCCGCCTGCCTCTGCCTCCCGAGTGCTGGGATTAAAGGCGTGCGCCACCAATGCCCAGCCAGGCAGTCACTTTTTGAGGATTTGCCTGGGTCAAGCGAAGGCTGGGAGGTTGGAATCAGATGTAAGGACTGAGAGAGATAGAAATCAAAGCCCTGTTGTCCAACCTCCACTCGTGACCCAGTACCAGTCCTAAGCACAGCTATACCACATAAGCTTTCTCTTGAGTGGTGGTGAAACCAAGGGATGTGTCTGATGTGGCATTACACACCCGTAGTCCAAGCTGCTCGATCAGTTTCTCAAATTCAAGAGTTGGAGGAGCACCAGGCAGTGATGTCACACACTTTTAGTCCTAGCACTTGGGAAGCACAGGCAGGAAAATCTCTGGGTTCAAGGCCAGCCTGTTCCTGGATAGCCAGGGCTACATGGAAAAACCCTGTCTCAAACAAAACAAAACAAAACACACACACACACACACACACACACACACACACACACACACACCCATGAGTTGGAGGGGAAGGGTACTGGAGAGATGGCTTGGCAGTTAAGATCACCCATAGCTCTTGCAGAGGACCTGAATTTAGGTCCCAGCATCCCCTATTTCCAGCTTACGAACATCTCTAACTCCAGTTCTAGGGCCTCTGGTACCTTCTTCAGGCTGCTGCTGGCAGCATCATGGAGGTGCACATACCCACACACAGATGCATAATTAAAAACAATTTTTTTTTAAAATTAGGAGTTTGAAATCAGCCTGATATACTATGGGGTTCCATGAAAGAGCTAACTGACACCCTGGGTTCTCAGCAGGCCCTATGAATGTCAGAGCCCAGATTGCTCAGAGTGATAGGAACAGCTGCTTGATAATTTCTGGGGCCCAGGAGGGGACGGACATACTGAGGCTGCCTCAAATGAAAAGGAGGGAAATGGCTTGGAGGACCAGGTGGAGGTAGAGGCCAGCCTGGGGTATAGAGTGAGTTACAAGCCAGCCTGAGCTACAAAATGAGTCCTAGTCTTAAAAAAAAAGAAAAAGACTACAAACAGAACAGGACACACATGATGGCACATGCCTGTTCCCGACAACTGGGTGGCAGAGGTAGACAAATCGCTGTGAGTTTGGGACCAGCCTGGTCTACATAATGAGGCCTTGTAGGAAAAACAAAACAAAATAAGAAGCAAACAAAAAAAAACTTGGATTTGATTATCAGTAAAGACAAAACCAAAAAAAAAAAAAAAAAAAAAAAAAAAACAAAACAAAACAAAATGGGGCTCCATAAAATAGCTGGACTGATAGCTCCAGTTCTCAGCAGGCCCTGTGAATATCAGAGCTCTGAACCAGCTGCTGCCTGGTAATCGCTGGGGTCCAGGAGGGACTGGACAGCCTGCCCCATGCCCCTCCCTGCCAGTGTCCCTGGCAGGCACACAGCTGCTAGGGCTGCTCACATTCCTGACATCCCATGTCAGGAGACAGATGCTGCTAATTCCCCTGTGCAAGCTTGGTCCATCAAGCCTGCCCTCCCCGGCAGGCTCTGGGCATCCATCAAGCCTGCCCTCCCCGGCAGGCTCTGGGCATCCATCAAGCCTGCCCTCCCCGGCAGGCTCTGGGCATCCATCAAGCCTGCCCTCCCCGGCAGGCTCTGGGCATCCATCAAGCCTGCCCTCCCCGGCAGGCTCTGGGCAGCATGGCTACAGCTGGGGCCTGGACCCCTTAGTCCCGGGTCTGAGCAGCTTCCAAGCCCGTGAACAGCATTGGGCTTCTCTCCAGAAGGCAGACTCTGCTGAAAGGGTCAGATAGATAGCACAGGGCTCTGGTCTGGAAGCCCAGGAACACAAAGCTGATGATGACGGAAAGAGCACCTGAGAATTAGGTGCGGGGGGGTGGGGGCGGGGTAGGGGCGGGGTGGGGGCGGAGCAGGGAGTGTGCCATGGCCAGTTTCCCTCTCTGAGCCTCTGTTTCCCTGCCTGTAATGCTGGGATGAGTGATGATGCCTGCCAAACCGTGCATGAGTGCTGAGTAAACAGCAGCTGTCATTGCATGGCTATTAAGACGGGGCCTCCGGGGCAGGGTGCTGTGCTGGGTGGGGGAGGGGCACTGGTTCATTTCCTTCTCGGGACAGCCCTTCCAGGAAAGCATTCTCACTAGCAGCATTTCCCTGAGGGGGGCACTGAAACTCAGAGGAAGGAAGCAATTGGCCCTCACGTGGGGGAATAGGGAAGTAAGGACCTCAGACAGAACAGGTGGTCTGTTCCCATGGAGCTCGCTCCCATCCCCTCAATGGCCCAGTGTTTCCGGGTGTTCAGAGGCTCTGGGAGGCCCAGACCAGGGAGGTCTGTTAGCCCAGTGAGGGGGGACAGACACTGCTGAGGTTCATCTGGACCGATGTTTTGATAGTAGCCTTATGATCCGGTGCCTGTCACATCACAGCCTTCCCATGGGCACTTTGTCCTTCCAGGGGACACTTTCTCCCACTTTTCACTTGGCCAAGCCCTAGCCACTCTCAAGAGCTCACAGGGGGGCGGGGGCTGTAGCTGTTAGGAGATGCTTGTCTAGCATTCATGATTTCTGGGTTCAGCCTGCAGCACTGCATAAACCAGGTAGTGGTGTGTACCTCTGGCCTCCATAGGGCATGCATGGGTGTGCACGGGGGTATGAGGAGCACACGCTCACACACACACACACACGCATGCACGCACGCACACACGCACGCGCGCGCACACA